GAAAACATATCCATTTGTGGACTTGCAGTCCTTTATGTCGGATATCCAACTAGCGTCGCTATACCCTTCAAGTACAGCTGGATATCTTCCATAGTGTAGTCCAAGGTTTTGGGTTTTACGTAAATACCTCAAAACCCTTACTATTGCCTTCCAGTGTTCATCACCGGGGTTACTAGTATATCTACTTAGCTTGCTAACCACAAAGGCAATATCAGGCCTGATACAACTCATTAGATAAATCAAGCTTCCAATAATCCTAGCGTATTCTACTTGAGAAATACACTCTCCACGATTTTTGGTAAGTTGTACATTTTTATCTAATGGAGTCCTTGCCTCTTGATAATCATCCTTATTATATTTCGTAAGGATTTTATCAACGTAGTGGGATTGGCTTAGTGTAAGACCATCAGGTCCTCTGATTATTTTAATCCCAAGGATTAAATCGGCCAGCCCCATATCCTTCATGTCAAATTTAGAATTTAACATGCTTTTGGTAGAATTAATCATTAGATTATTGCTACCCATGATGAGTATATCATCCACGTATAAACACAAAATGACATAGCCGTCTACCATGCTTTTCACATAGATGCATTTGTCACTTTCGTTTATTTTAAACCCATTAATTAACATTGCATGGTCGAACTTTTCGTGCCACTGCTTAGGGGTTTGTTTCAATCCATACAATGATTTAATTAATTTACACACTTTCCTTTCTTGGCCAGGAACACGAAAGCCCTCAGGTTGTTCCATATAGATTTCTTCGTCTATATCGCCATTTAGAAAAGCGGTTTTTACATCCATTTGATGAACTTCCAATTTCCGCAATGCGGCAATTGCTATTATCATCCTAATGGAATTTATTCTCGTCACAGGAGAATACGTGTCAAAGTAATCATGGCCCTCAAGTTGCTTGTATCCCTTGATTACAAGTCTGGCCTTGTACATATCGATGGAGCCGTCAGGTTTCATTTTTCGTTTAAAAATCCACTTAGATCCCAAAGGTTTATTTCCCGGAGGAAGATCAACCAATTCCCATGTGTGATTTTGTAGGATAGAATCCACCTCACTTTTGATGGCTTCTTTCCACATAGGACCTTCGGTAGACGTCACGGCTTCCGTATAAGTCCGTGGCTCATTTTCTACCAAACATGTTAGAAAATCTGGTTCACTTTCTACCATACATGATAGAATGTCTTAGTCAAATTCTACCAAGTAGGTGAGAAAATCTGGTCCGAAGGATTTTTCAACTCTAGCACATTTGCTACGTCTGGGTTCGGCTTCTTCTCCGGACCCCTCGCTAGTATTTTCCATAGCTACGTCAAATGTTCGTTTTGACGTGCTTGGTCCTTCGTTGGACTTGCATGGAAATACGTCTTCAAAGAATGATGCATTCCTTGATTCAATTATTGTGTTTTTATGTACATCCGGATTATTCGAATCGTACACTAAAAACCGATAAGCACTACTATTTTGTGTATATCCAATAAAAATACAATCCACCGTTTTTGGACCTATTTTAATTTTCTTAGGTCAGTACAAGCACTTTTGCAAGACACCCCACACTTTTAAATATTGATAGGAAGGCCTTCTACCTTTCCACAACTCGTATGGAGTTTTGTCATACTTTTTTCGGGGAATTAATTTAAGTGGTCCGGTTTTTCTTTCCACCGATTTGAAAGACGTTTTTGTTAGTTTTGCCTCTACACAAACTTCACATTTGTGATTCACATCAATTGTGAATTTAGGAATGTGTTCCATGTTAATTAATCTACGTATAGAATTAAAATTAACATGTCCTAGTCTACCATGCCACACATTGGAAGACTCAAGCAAGTAAGCAGAAGAGATTTTATTATTATTATTATTAATAGTCATTACATTGAGCTTAAACAGCCCATCAACTACATACCTCTTCCCCACATACATTCCCGATTTAGACAAAACTAGTTTGTCCTATTCAAAGACCATGACGAAGCCATGCTTGTTCAACAAAGAGCCCGAGATCAGGTTTTTGCGTATATCCGGGACGTACAACACATTGTTGAGAGTCAGCTCCTTGCCTGAAGTCATCTTCAGGACCACCTTGCCCATGCCTTCAACCTTGGAATGAGCAGAATTCCTCATCCACACCTTCTAACCATTTTATGGCTCAAAGGTTGTGAATAGCTCCCGGTTAGAGTAAATATGTCGGGTTGCACCGGTGTCCACGAACCACTCCTTGGAATTGGATCCAACGAGGTTGACCTCGATCACCATGGCCGCAAGAATGATGTCTTCATCCTTTTGCCCACCTTGCACCATGTTGACTTGAGAGTCTTTCTTTTTCCTTGGTGCCTTGCAATCCGAGGACTTGTGTCCATTTTTGTTGCAATTGAAGCATTTTCCATTAAATTTGGGTTTGGAAACGCCTCCCTTGGGACCGAGCTTGCTCTTCCCATTATTTTTATTTTTGGAGCCTTTTGCATGCTCCACCACGTTGGCCTTGGCGTCGTTAACGATTGGGAGTTTCCCATCGTTCTTCCGATTATCCTCTTCAATCCGCATATGGAGGATCAACTGCTCCAAGTTCATTTCCTTTCGCTTTTGCTGAATGTAGTTCTTGAAATCCTTCCAAGCCGGCGGCAACAAATGTATAATTGACGCCACTTGGAAAGACTCACTAATTGTCATTCCTTCATCTCAAATTTTGTTGATTATCATTTGCATTTCTTCAACTTGACTCAAGACCGTCTTCGAATCCACCATTTTAAAATCAAGGAATCGACCGACAAGAAATTTCTTTGCACCGGCATCCTCGATCTTATATTTGTGGTCCAAAGCGTTCCATAGCTCCTTTGCCGTAGCTAATTTGTTATACATGTCGTACAAAGCATCATGCAGCCTGTTCAACACGTAGTTTCGGCAAAGGACGTCATTGCTTCTATGCTTCAACCGCATTGAAAGATTGCGCATCCACCTCACCCCCGGTTACAACTGGCGCGTCCTCGGTCAAGAAACGTGCAAGACTGAGAGTAGTGAGATAGAAGAGCATCTTTTGCTGCCACCTCTTGAAGTTTAACCCATTAAATTTTTCGGGTTTCTCCATAGAGTTGCTCGGCACGGTCACCATAGGGATAGCCCTTTGGTTAACCAAAGCAGATGCACCGCGTTGTGAACTATTGTTCACCGGAGCTCCGCTTTCAGAGTGATTATCGTTCAAACCGTTCAAATCATTCTGCCCAACAACATTTTCATTTTCTTGAGAAGTCATTTTTCGTTTCTTACGTTATTCAAAAACACAAAAAATAAGTTCGTTCACCAAGGTGACAAACTACAAGTTTAAGATTGTTTACCGTAGTAGAACAATCATCGAATACGTTTTAAGTTTGTCGGGTGTGTTTCGAAAAACAAAGAAAATTAATTAATAAAATCAATTAATAAAATGACATAAAGGAAAAGAAAAACAAGAAATGAGATGAAGCAGAATAAGCCAAAGCTCGTGCTACACACGATTTCCTTAAAACGTATTCGTTGCCTCCCGGGGTGCTAGGAGCGTTGCAACGATCATTTCCCAAGATACGATGACTTCGAAGAATAGTTTAGCACTCAAACTAAAGTTCCAACGAATGTAAACAAAGGTCAGAACACAGAAGAGTTTGTATGGAATGCTAGAGGTGGTTTTAGCTCTGAAAATATGTGTACGAAATATATGAAGCTTGTGTGTTTGCAAAGAACCTGCTAGCCTTTTATAGGGGTGGATTATGGTGTGTTAATGGCTGTTTAAGGCTTGTGAACGTTGGACATCAATGTCCTGATCGTTGGGCATTGATTCCAGCCAATAAACAGCCCAAAACGTTCATATGAACGTTGGGACTTCAATGGCAGCATTGGGCATTTATGCTGCAACGTTCTACTTCAGCATGGAGCAAAAATAAAATAGGAACGCACTGGAAGAACAAAAATTAACGTTATCTTTAGGAGCGTTGCAACGATCGTTTCCCAGGATACGATGACTTCGAACAATAGTTTAACACTCAAACTAAAGTTCCAACGAATGTGAACAAAGGTCAGAACACAGAAGAGTTTGTATGGAATGCTAGAGGTGGTTTTAGCTCTGAAAATATGTGTACGAAGTGTATGAAGCTTGTGTGTTTGCAAAGCACCTGCTAGCCTTTTATAGGGGTGGATTATGGTGTGTTAATGGCTGTTTAAGGCTTGTGAACGTTGGACATCAATGTCCTAATCGTTGGGCATTGATTCCAACCAATAAACAGCCCAAAACGTTCATATGAACGTTGGGACTTCAATGGCAGCATTGGGCATTTATGTTGCAACGTTCTAGTTTAGTATGGAGCAAAAATAAAATAGGAACGCACTGGAAGAACAAAAATTAACATTATCTTTAGAAGATATATTTTCGGACAACATTCGTGTGTGTAGGTTGCCCGCACATGCAAGTCGCGCTTTTTGTTCTTCGGTTTCGGGATTTGATTCGCACCCTCCTGCACGCGTGAGAGAGCCTTTCCCTTTAGGAAGCTTAACTCCTTAGGGGGGGGTTTCCCTTTATAAAGAGTTCAAATTCCCTTGTGATTTTCGGTGTGGGAAAAAACCCACACTAAAACCCACCTTTTCCTAGTTTTCTCCATTCCAACGGGTAAACTTCGAAAAGCAATTTCTCATTCACCCGTTATCCGTTTTGAGTGTACCATATATCGAATTGTAGCCCTTAGCAAGGACAATCCGAAACCACTTTGACCCGACCCAAATCGGAAGTGGATCCCACTCAAATAATTGCTCCAAAATGACCATTTAATGCAATTTTAACACACTTTTTCCAACAAATACTTTAGGTGATAAACCAGTGAAAGTCCTGTTAAGAGGATATGATAGTTGTAAAGTTTTCAAAGGGGTTTGATAGTTTAGCACTTTGCTGGGCATCCTATTAATTAGGTATGCAACATGAAGTATAGCTTCTCCCCAAGAACGTTCTGGAACATTCATAGAAAACATAAGAGCTCGGGCAACCTCTTGTAGATGTCTATTTTTTTTCTCGGAAATTCCATTTTGTTGATGTGTAATAACACAAGAACTATGATGGAGAATGCCTTGGGCTGCGAGAAACGAACCAAGAGTGCAATTAAAAAATTCTCTACCATTATCTGTTCTAAGGACTTGTATTTGAGCTCGAAATTATGTTTTAATCATAGAGTTAAAACTTTTGATTGTTTCTGCAGCCTCTGATTTTTCTTTAAGAAGAGAAATCCAAGTGTTTCTAGTGTGATCATCAAAAAAGGTTATGAATCATCTAGTGCCAGAAAGATTTTTAATCCTAGATGGTCCCCATATGTCACTATGAATAAGAGAGAAAGGTTTAGATGACATGTAAGGCAAAGAAGGATAAACAGAACGTTTATGTTTAGCAATTTGACAAATCTCACATTGAAATGAATTAGCATCCTTATTTTTAAATAAAATAGGAAACACATGGCGTAAATAACCAAAGATAGGATGACCTAGTCGATAGTGCCATAACATTATTTGATTCTCTAAGGATAAAAAACTAGGAGAACATGGTTTCTGAACTTGTTTACTAGAGAGGCTGTCTGTAGCAAGACAGTAGAGTCCACCACTTTCTCTTGCACAACCATTTGACACAAATCATTTGACACAAATTTCACAACATGATGAGAATCATGAGCAAGTTTACTGACTGACACAAGGTTGCATAATAAGTTGGGCACATGTAGGACATTGTTTAAGGTAATAAACGGAGATATAATGATAGAACCTTTTCCAGCAATTGTGGATAGGGAACTGGTGTGTAGCATATAATGGGCACACAACTATTTTTTTACCCAAGGAAGTAGGGTGTCGAACCACAGAGAAGCGGGAAATAAAATAATTAAGCACAAACTAAGGATTAAAGTTGGGAATGCGTTTCTTTTGATTTTTGTTTACTTGGAAAAGTAATTAAATAAAAGTGATTGAGAGAAGAGACTTTTATCAACACAAAGTTCAACCAATAGCAAGTAGGGGTAGAAATTGGCAACTAATTGTTCAATGCTCATTTGTAAGACATAATTGCTAATTTTATTCTTAGATAGATTGTGAGAAGTTGTAGATAAATATTTTAGGACCCAACACAAGTCACCTAAAATAAGTAACTAGTCAACATTTCCCAGTGATGGCCAAAACGAGACTAGTTGTTTAAGTGCAACGACAACCTTAATTATTAACTATATTATTTACCCAACCCCGTGGTGTAAATAATATAATTAAATAATTAAATTCTCCCGTAAAACTTCAATCCGGGACAAGGTAAAAGAAGTTTAACGGTGTGTTCAGAAAGTGTTCATTTGTGTATTTAACAAACAATATGTTTATGATTGAGTACTCATAATATATATCACAAACACAACATAATTAATTTTCTGGACACAACAATCTAAATAGAACAAACTTAACAATTAAAATCAATACAAATTAAAACATTATAAGAACAATTAATTAACCAATTTCTAGCCCCAAATTTATTTAGCTATACATGTTGGGAAACATAGAAATAGATGAATCCATGATTAAAGTACAAGATTTAATGAGATAAGGAAGATCAAACTTGTGATAGATGACAATCCTTGGAGCTTTGATGCTAATCTTGACTTAATCTTGGATGAGAAAGTGATTAGTTATGGTTGAAGATGGGTTGATGATTTGGGGTTGAGAAATGAAGAGAGAAGGAGGAGGAAATGTTTCTGGGATGTTTAGAGAGAGGTTGGTCCGAGCTTATCTGTGGAGGAAGATGGATTAAGGCAATATAATGATAAGGTGATTAATCATTAATTGTTGGAATTTACGGAACAGATGAGTTTATGTACAACAAAGCGCAGTAAAGTTTCAAAAGTGGTAGGTAGCTCAACGGATAAGCACTTCAGAGGAAAACTCGGAGATCGTGGGATCGATTCTCGGCTTCAACATTTTGTTCTTTTCTTTGCCGCGTTCAGAAGGAATATAACAATTGCCAGCTGAATATGTACAGCATTGATCACTTAGCACACTGGTTGTAGTAGGCATTCTTCTACCCTTTTTCCAGGGATCGAATCCCACCTCCATCATTTTTAGTTTTGATTCTTTTCTTCAATTTACTCCTTATTTGTTTTGAAGGAAATTCCACTTTTATTGACCTCCAACTTGAACTTTTATTTTTCTTCTTTTGTTCACTCTAATGTATCCAAATAGCATCAAAAGTACCTGAAAATACAAAATACCCGTGTAGGACTGCACAAGTACAAACTAACGACAAATTATAAAAATATGTACAAAAGTAGAATTTTAATAACTAAAATTAATAACAAACTAAGCCTAAAAAGTGTGTAAAATATAAGTACATCAAATCCCCCACACTTAGGCTTTTGCTTGTCCTCAAGTAAAACAAACAACAAACACAAAAATATACACAATTTTGTAAAATTTACAAACATAACTAAACAAATCACTCATACATCTCTAATGTCCACTAAACGGTCCAATACCCTGAAATGTCACAAAATAACGCAATGAGAGTAAACTGAGTATTTGTGCCTATCACTAAGATTTTCAAATCAAACTTTTAACACAAACACCTATAGATCTAAATTAGTTCGGGTTATGCAGAACAAGTTTCTCCAATCCGCTAAATTCAAAAAATGACACAAATAGATCAATTAGGACTTTTTTCGGTGAGTGGCGAGATTAATGAGTGTGGCTAGTTGGAAGGAAAGTTTGGTGTAAGAATATACAGAGAGAGTTAGATTGTACTAATACTGAGCGGATCATCACAAGAATTTACAACAACTTGGAGCATACAAAACAATGAGAAATATAAACATGAAAAGTAAAAAAAAATGGGGTTTTACAAAAGAAATTACAACAAGAATTTAATGTGCCTCTTTGTTGTTGTTTTTTTGTTTTTTTTTTGTCTTTTTTTTCAATTTTCCATCTCTTTTTTTTTTCTTTTTTCTTTTTTTTTTTGATTTTTTTTTTTCAAAGAGGTCACACACTGAACATTACAATGAAAAACTAACCCCAAAATTTACAAACAAATATGTACTTCACTCATATGACACTTAATAGTAGCTCCATTTATTTACTCTCAAGTAACAAGACAATCTACTCTAGGATTAGAAAAGATTAACTTTGAATAGGGCTTCAGAAGGTTATGTATTTACAAGGTTACAAATAAAAAAGAATTAGTGACAAGTGAAGTAAGATATTTTACACTTGTACACTGAAAAGGCTCGAACGGGATTACTATGGAAAGTGTTATTTATTTACAAAGGGATAGTGTTTGGCTTCATGGGTAAACAAAGATGGCCTAAATCATTTCTAAATGTGTCAAGTTCAAATAAAATTTCAAGGAGAATAAATGTATGAACATCTTAATCTGCATAAACTTTCACTAATTCAACTATTAACCAATAAATTGGAAAAATAAAATCTAAGGTGTTTAATGTTAAAGTGTTAAAAAGAATCAAGTTCAAAGCTAATACTAAGTTACTCTCAAAAAATTATAGTGACACTTCTCAAACTCAAACCACATTTCGTCAAAAGAGGTGAATGAATAGTTTTAAAAAGTTATGGAAGTAACTAGTAACAAAAAGTGTAAACTAATGTGTTGTTTGTCTATTGTTGTATTTTGGACAAGACTGGTCTTTACTTTTCTAAACAAACACACAAAATAAAAATAAAAGAAAATAAAATCACACAAACAAGCAAGGAAAAAGAAAAAATATTCACACAAGAAATTAGGGTCGAACTACCCACTCCCCCACACTTAAAATTTGCACTGTCCTCAGTGGAAAATAAATTAAAGGAGTGTAAAGAAAACTTCCCTGAATTGCGGACGGATGATGTTGAGATGTCTTTTCGAGCGGATGTGGCCCCTTTAGAGTCCAAAAACAAAAACCTAGACATTTTTTTTTTTTGCTTTTTTTTTGTTTTTTTGTTTTTTTGTTTTTGAAATTTACAAACTTGGGTTGCCTCCCAAGAAGCGCTCGTTTAAGGTCATTAGCTTGACCCATGCCTCTTCATTCATATTTCGGATCAGTGAGGCAATACACAGAAGTTGCCTCTTGTCTCTCACCATCATGGTATAGTTTCAACCGTTGTCCATTTACCATGAGTTTTTGGCCGCTTTTGTTTAACAACTGGACTGCTCCGGATGGAAATGCTTCAAGTACTTCAAATGGACCCAACCATCGGGTCTTTAGCTTTCCGAGAAAGAATTTGTAACGTGAGTTAAATAGAAGAACTTTATCTCCCCGTTCAAATTTTCTTCGGCTGATCACCCGGTCATGCAAAACTTTTGTTCTCTCCTTGTAGAGTTTTGAGCTATCATAAGCTGCAAGTCTGAATTCTTCAAGTTCATTTAGCTGCAACAGTCGTTTCTCACCCGCCAATGCAAGATCCATGTTGAGTGTCTTGATTGCCCAATATGTTTTGTGTTCAACCTCAACAGGAAGGTGACATGATTTCCCATACACCAATTTGAATGGTGAGGTGCCGATGGGATTTTTGTAAGCAGTGCGATATGCCCATAGTGCATCATCAAGCTTTTCGGCCCAATCCTTTCGGGAAGGATTAACAACTTTCTCGAGAATTGTTTTGATTTCTCGGTTTGAAAGTTCCACTTGGCCATTTGTTTGCGGGTGGTATGGAGTTGAGAGTCGGTGGTGAATCCCATATTTGGAAAGGACACGTTCCAATGCTTTGTTACAAAAATGAGTACCATTGTCGGTGATGAAAGATCGTGGAACTCCGAATCGGGAGAAAATATTTTTCTGAATGAATTGGATCACCACTTTGGCATCATTTGTCTGTGTGGCAGCTGCTTCTACCCATTTAGAAACATAATCAACAGCTACAAGGATGAACTCTTTCCCATTTGATTTTGGAAATGGCCCCATAAAATCGAGCCCCCACACGTCAAACAATTCGACTTCAAGTATGCCATGTTGAGGCATTTCATTCTTTCTTCCAATATTACCGGTACGTTGGCAACGATCACAGTTTTTCACAAATTTGCTTGCATCTTTGAAAATAGTGGGCCAAAAGAAACCTGATTGTAAAATCTTTGCAGCAGTACGAGAGCTTCCATGATGTCCCCCATATGGTGAGGAATGACAATGGTGCAAGACATTTGAAACTTCATCTTCGGGCAAACACCGTCGAATGACTCCATCGGCACACCTTCTATAGAGAAAAGGTTCTGCCCAATGATAGTAGCGGGAGTCATATTTTAACTTCTTCTTTTCAGTATGTGTAGCACCATGTGGAATTACCCCATGAGAAAGGTAATTTGCAATATCGGCAAACCATGGATCAAAATTTTGAGCAGTCATAAGTTGTTCCCCAATGAAATAATCATTGATTGGCATCTTGGTATCACAAGGAATCTCAAGTCGAGATAAATGATCGGCAACAACATTTTCAGATCCTTTTCTATCACGGATTTCCATGTCAAACTCTTGTAGTAACAAGATCCACCGCAACAACCTCGGTTTTGCATCTTTTTTGTTGATGAGGTATTTGATAGCCGCATGGTCGGTATAGACAATAATCTTGCTACCGATAAGGTAAGATCGGAATTTTTCAATGCCAAAAAATTTGGCAAGGAACTCTTTTTCAGTTGTGGCATAATTTGATTGGGCATCATCATGAGTATGACTTGCATAATAAATGACATATACTTCTTTGCCTTTGCGTTGACCCAGAATGGCTCCCACGGCATAATCGCTTGCATCACACATGAGTTCAAAAGGAAGACTCCAATCAGGTGGCCTAATAATTGGTGCAGTAGTTAAGGCCAACTTGAGTTTTGAAAATGCGGCGCAGCAAGATTCATCAAAATTAAACTCCACATCTTTTGAGAGAAGATTGGTTAAAGGCTTTGATATTTTTGAAAAATCCTTGATAACCGTCGATAAAATCCCGCATGGCCAAGAAAACTACGAATCCCCTTGATGGAAGAAGGGGGTGGCAATTTCTCAATTACTTCTATCTTTGCCGGGTCTACTTCAATGCCCTTTTCAGAAATTTTGTGCCCAAGCACAATGCCTTCGGTTGCCATGAAATGACATTTTTCCCAGTTGAGGACAAGATTTGCTTCTTCACATTTGCTTAGCACTTTATCAAGATGTTCAAGACAATCATCAAATGAAATCCCATAAACCGAGAAATCATCCATAAAAACTTCCATAATTTCCTCGACAAGATCCGAGAAAATAGCTAGCATACATCGTTGAAAGGTTCTTGGTGCATTACATAATCCAAACGGCATTCTGCGATATGCAAAAGTACCATAAGGACATGTAAATGTCGTCATTTCTTGATCATCCGGATGAATTGGGATTTGGAAAAATCCAGAGAATCCGTCAAGAAAACAGAAATATTTGTGCTTAGCCATCCTCTCCAGCAATTGATCAATAAAGGGAAGTGGAAAATGATCTTTCCGAGTAGCCTTGTTTAGCTTGCGGTAATCAATGCACATGCGCCATCCAGTGACTATTCGTGTAGGAATCAGCTCGTTTTTGTCATTCTTTACAACAGTAATTCCTCCTTTCTTTGGCACCACATGGATAGGACTTACCCATTTACTGTCCGAAATGGGGAAAATGATACCCGAACTCAATAGTTTAAGAATTTCTTTTTGAACAACATCTTTCATGTTCGGGTTGAGGCGTCTTTGGTGCTCAATGCTCGGCTTGTGATCATCCTCCAAGTAAATGCGGTGCATGCAATAAGATGCCTTTATGCCAACAATATCATCAATGGTGTAGCCAATAACTCTGCGATGGCTTCGTAAGACTTGCAATATTCTTTCCACTTGTTGAAGATCTAAATCAGCATTCACAATGACAGGATAAGTGGAATTCGGGCCAAGAAAAGCATATTTTAAAGTAGATGGAAGTGGTTTGAGTTCTACTTCAGGTGCTTTTCCTTTGACATTCAAGGATTGATCTTCAAGATTAAGCACTTCAAATTTAAGTGCTTTAGGCATCGGTAAAGATATGCTTTGCAACATTTCGAGACATAAATTCACCATTTCATTGGCTTGCTCATCTGCAATAGATTCTCGTATAGTGTACTCCATGGGATCTTTAGAAAGCCAATAAGACTTATCAAATGTCTTTATGATACAAGAGTCTATAACATCAGCATAGTAACCATCAAGGACACAAGGTGTATCCTTACTCAGCTCTTGTACATTGAATTCGATCTTATCATCCCCAATCTCAAGGATAAGGGTACCCTTTTTTACATTGATAATTGCTCCTGCCGTAGCTAGAAAGGGTCTCCCGAGAATAACAGGAACTCGAGCATCTTCCTCCATATCCAAGACAACAAAGTCTCCCGGGATATAATACTTGTCAATTTTGACAGGAACATCTTCAAGAATGCCGATAGGATATTTGACAGATCGATCAGCCAATTGTAACGCCATTGTTGTTGGTTTGGGATCCCCCAAGTGTAGCTTTTGACATAGTGAATAGGGAATTAAGCTAACACTTGCACCAAGATCACAAAGAGCTTTGTTAACTTTAGATCCACCAATGATACATGGAATTGAGAAGCTTCCAGGATCACGTAACTTGGGTGTAATTTTATTTTGGATTATGGCACTACATTCTTGGCTCATTGCAACAGTGGCTGGATTCTCCTTCTTCTTTGTGAGAATATCTTTGAGAAATTTAGCATATGAAGGAATTTCTGTAATGGCATCAAGCAAAGGAATTGAGATATCCAACTGTTTGATAACATTCAAAAATTTAGTTCTCCGCTCCTCCATATTAGCTTTCTTCAATCTGTTCGGATAAGGAACTGGGGGAATATATTTCCTTACCGAACTGCTTTTTTCTTTCTTCGACCCTTCACGATCATCAGATGGTTTCGGCATGGTACCGACATCAAGTTCATTGTTGTTGTTTCCACCTTTCTGTTGTTGCTCGGCCCTTTCCTCCAACACTTCATGTTCTTTTTCATCACTAGAAAGGGGCAAGGATTGATGTTGTTTCCCACTCCGAGTAGTGACGACATTGATTTGCTCCCTAGGGTTTTCAGGACAAGCAGGAAGCTTACCTGTCACCTTAGTTGATGATGTGGATGCTTGATTAGCAATTTGATTCTCAAGCATCTTGTTGTGAGCTCGAAGTTGACCAAGTTCTTCGGTGATTTGTTTCAGGGTTTCAGCTTGAGATAATTGGGACTTGAGAAGTTGGTCAACAATGTTTTCTAGGACAGGAGTTTGGGTTGTTTCAGGAGTGGGGAGAAGTGGTTTTTGCTGTTGACTTGAAGGGTATGGAAGATTTTGAGTGGGTTTATAGTGTTGTTGGTTCACAATACCTTGGCCACCTCTGAATTGCTGTTGTTGGTTTTGGAAACCGGGTGGTGCACTCCGGTAAGATGGTTGTGGATTAGCAGCTCCATTTTGATTGCTCCAGGAAAAACCGGGATGGTTTCTTCCTTGAGGATTGAAATTACCAAATTGATTTTGTTGGGGCTGCCTGTTGTAGTTGACATAGTCAACTTGTTCCATTGCTTCCCATGGACAAGTAGACTGATTGTGTTGTCCACCGCAAGATTCACACATTAGAACGGGAATGGGAGCTAGAGTTGATGTTGAGTTTTGCACAAGAGAGACTTGTGCCATCTTTTGGATAAGATTCATCATGCTATCGACCTTTGTGGTTATGGCCGACATTTGATCAACTTCATACATGCCTCCGATTTTTGGTGGAGCAGATGATCGCTCAGAATACCATGTTGATCCATTTGATGAAATACGCTCCATCAATTCTTCTGCCTCTTCAAGTTCCAGGCACATGAGTGATCCATTTGCTGACGCGTCCACGAGTATCCGAGAATTTTCATGTAGGCCTTCATAGAAAGCCGTCATCAAGTTCCAGTTTTGGATGTTATGATGTGGACACTGTCGCTGAAGATCTTTGAATCTTTCCCAAGCCTCGTAGAGGGGCTCATTGGGATTTTGCTTGAAATTTTGAATCATTCTTCGGATTTTCGCCGTTTTAGATGGCGGGAAAAATCTTTTGAGAAATTCACCATGAAGTTGATCCCAAGTGGAGAAGTGATTATCCGGAAAAGAGTCAAGCCAACTCTGAGCTCGATCCCGTAGAGAGAATGGGAACAGGCGTAGTCTGACAGCATCAGTTGGCACACCATTGATTTTGAAGGTGTTGCAAGCTCGAAGGAACTTTGTGATGTGATTATTTGGATCCTCCGTTGACGCTCCGCCAAATTGAGTATTTGAAACCATATGAATGATAGCAGGCTTGATTTCAAAGTGATTCATGTTAACCTCTGGTGGAATAACACTGTCATGCTCATCCACGGGAGGCGTAACATAATCATACAGCGGTTTTCTGGTCCTCATAACCTGATCCACGATTTGTTGATCGGGTACCTGCTCATTAACAACAATATCGTTTGACATTTTTTTTTTCTGTTCACGTATGTGCTTTTCGATGTCAGAGAAGAATAACAATTCACAATTCGCACCACGTGAACGTGTGAGCATAAGCAGAAGGGAATTGGGATTGGGGAAAGAGAGAGAGAGAGATGAAAAGAAAAAATAAATGCGGAATTAATTAATTAATTAAGGTTCGCACGTAGTCAATTGGTATAAATCGAATGAGACTAGTGAGCCCTTAAAGCAGTATGAATATATACAGTAATTCACCAGGATGCGGCTGGGCCGACAGATATGGTGATTTGAGGGAAGGAAAAAAAAATAGCTACAGTAATAAATACAGTCTCCACCAAGATGCAACTATGCCGACAGTCTGGGGATTATTAAGAAAATAAAAATAAAAATAAAAAGTGCACTCCACCAACAAGTGGACACGGCCGACAAGCTTGGGGATGCAAAATTTAAAAAAATGCTGAAATTAAAGTGCGGAAATTAAATTGCGATAATATAAGTGCACAAATTAAATTGCGATAATTAAAGTGCAGAAATTAAAAAGTTGGGGTTTGAACCACCATAAAAAGAAAAATAAACGGTCCGACCATATAGGCGGAGTATCCTTTGAATGATAATGTACAAGTAAGCGGTCCGACCATATAGGCGGAGTATCCTTTGAATTATAATGTACAAGTAAGCGGTCCGACCATATAGGCGGAGTATCCTTTTAATTAAAATGTAACAATATGTTCAATGGTCTGAATGTCCGGATATGTTCAGTCAACAAGTCCAACTCCAATGCTCAGGTAAGATGATTAATCACAGTCCATTATTATTTTTTTTTTTTTTATTTTTTTTTTTTTGATTTTTTTTTGAACTTTTATTAATCACTTTTTTTTTTAACCTGCAAAGGTAAAAAGATAACAACAGAATAATATACACACAATTTGCAATAACTAAAATCGAAAGTTTATGCTCTCAATTTTTTTTTTCAAAACCGCTTCCCCGGCAACGGCGCCAAGTTGGTGTGTAGCATATAATGGGCACACAACTATTTTTTTACCCAAGGAAGTAGGGTGTCGAACCACAGAGAAGCGGGAAATAAAATAATTAAGCACAAACTAAGGATTAAAGTTGGGAATGCGTTTCTTTTGATTTTTGTTTACTTGGAAAAGTAATTAAATAAAAGTGATTGAGAGAAGAGACTTTTATCAACACAAAGTTCAACCAATAGCAAGTAGGGGTAGAAATTGGCAACTAATTGTTCAATGCTCATTTGTAAGACATAATTGCTAATTTTATTCTTAGATAGATTGTGAGAAGTTGTAGATAAATATTTTAGGACCCAACACAAGTCACCTAAAATAAGTAACTAGTCAACATTTCCCAGTGATGGCCAAAACGAGACTAGTTGTTTAAGTGCAACGACAACCTTAATTATTAACTATATTATTTACCCAACCCCGTGGTGTAAATAATATAATTAAATAATTAAATTCTCCCGTAAAACTTCAATCCGGGACAAGGTAAAAGAAGTTTAACGGTGTGTTCAGAAAGTGTTCATTTGTGTATTTAACAAACAATATGTTTATGATTGAGTACTCATAATATATATCACAAACACAACATAATTAATTTTCTGGACACAACAATCTAAATAGAACAAACTTAACAATTAAAATCAATACAAATTAAAACATTATAAGAACAATTAATTAACCAATTTCTAGCCCCAAATTTATTTAGCTATACATGTTGGGAAACATAGAAATAGATGAATCCATGATTAAAGTACAAGATTTAATGAGATAAGGAAGATCAAACTTGTGATAGATGACAATCCTTGGAGCTTTGATGCTAATCTTGACTTAATCTTGGATGAGAAAGTGATTAGTTATGGTTGAAGATGGGTTGATGATTTGGGGTTGAGAAATGAAGAGAGAAGGAGGAGGAAATGTTTCTGGGATGTTTAGAGAGAGGTTGGTCCGAGCTTATCTGTGGAGGAAGATGGATTAAGGCAATATAATGATAAGGTGATTAATCATTAATTGCTGGAATTTACGGAACAGATGAGTTTATGTACAACAAAGCGCAGTAAAGTTTCAAAAGTGGTAGGTAGCTCAACGGATAAGCACTTCAGAGGAAAACTCGGAGATCGTGGGATCGATTCTCGGCTTCAACATTTTGTTCTTTTCTTTGCCGCGTTCAGAAGGAATATAACAATTGCCAGCTGAATATGTACAGCATTGATCACTTAGCACACTGGTTGTAGTAGGCATTCTTCTACCCTTTTTCCAGGGATCGAATCCCACCTCCATCATTTTTAGTTTTGATTCTTTTCTTCAATTTACTCCTTATTTGTTTTGAAGGAAATTCCACTTTTATTGACCTCCAACTTGAACTTTTATTTTTCTTCTTTTGTTCACTCTAATGTATCCAAATAGCATCAAAAGTACCTGAAAATACAAAATACCCGTGTAGGACTGCACAAGTACAAACTAACGACAAATTATAAAAATATGTACAAAAGTAGAATTTTAATAACTAAAATTAATAACAAACTAAGCCTAAAAAGTGTGTAAAATATAAGTACATCAGGAACCATCTGCGATTTTTACCTTTTGATTACCCGAACAAGGAAAGTAATCAGAAAACATGTAGGAAGACCCGGTCATGTGATCAGTAGCCCCTGAATCAATGATCCCAGACTAAGGGCGGCTGCTAAGATACCTTTTTGCACCAGAGATGATGAAGGATTGGCTGAGATATTTGAGGTTAAGGTATTTGAGACTGGTGTATATGGAGTATTAATTTTGGTATTAGCAGACCGATGAGAATTCCAAGACTGAAACAATTGTTCTAGGCTATCCTTGATGAAGGAGAATGTGTCGCTAGATGTGTTTGCTTGATCTCCAGATGCAGCGAGGAAGCCTCCTTTGGTGTTGCGTGAGACTCGGCTAGAAGGAGTGAAATCAGCTGGCTTGTCATGAATCTTCCAGCACTTTGCTTTGATGTGCCCGATTTTGTGACAAAAATCACACACTGGTTGTTCTTGATTCTTATTAGACTGCTGCAAAGGATGCAAGGACTTGAAATTTGGTTTTGAGATCATCGGTGCAGACTTTTCAATGGGTAAATAGGTGGATTCATCTCTGAGCATCACATGTCGACGACCTCTTAAGCACTTGGCAGTGGGTCTCGTCCAAGAAGTCTCCCTCGAACTTCATCAAGTTCTTTGTTCAGGCCAGCAAGGAAGTCAAAAACTCTTTCCTTTTCAAAAATTTTCCTATAGAGGGCAGCATCCTTCGGGCAGTGCCATTTATAATCACAAAATAGATCATACTCTTGCCAAAGAGTCATGATATCAGTGTAGTACTGAGTTACACTCTTCTCCCTTTGTTTCGCCTTTCCCAATTGTGTCTTGATCTCAAATAATTGCCTAGCATTCCCCAAATCTGAGTAGGTTTCCTTTAGGGCATCCCAGATGGCATTCGCGGATGGCAGAAACAAATAGGTTCAGCCAATTTCTGATTCCATTGAGTTCACCAACCATGACATAATCATGGAATTCTCGGCCTCCCATCGTTCATATCCATCATCTTTGGGGTATGGCTGAACTGTTGTTCCCGAGAGGTAGCCAAATTTGCCTTTTCCTTGGACGAAAAGCTTGACCGACTGTGACCACGGGAGGAAATTACTTCCATTTAGTTTGATGGAGGTAATTGCCAGATTATGCATAGAATCAAAAGCGATACAGGGTTTGGTTCGGGCGGAGTCACCAGTTGAGCTGGTGCTGATATCGTTCGAGTTCAGGCCTGCCATGGAAGTTGGTGATACGGCTCTTATATACCATAAAAGAAGAAAATAGGTGGAATAGATTTTCTTCTCATTTACCGAACTTAAATAGGTACAGAGTGAATCCTGGAAATCCTAGGAATTAATTAATTCCCTAGAATAAAAGGATCTACAATATCAAAAAGATAATCTACCTTAAATACAATTCTAATCAAGACAAGAGATAATTCTACAATTAATTACAATTAGTATGCGCCTAAAATAGATGATTCTGTCGAATAATCTAAAATAGATTATTCTGTCCAACACTTTGTTTAAGAAATTAGGGAGATGTTCCCTTACAATCCCCCACCTCGTGTGGTTGCTCCGGGATAAAAAAAAGGAGTAAAACATCCCCTAAATCACAAATATTACTACATTGTTTTAAATTATCTAAATAAGACTAATTATATATGTTTGGTCAATTATACCCCGCTCCAACTCCCTGCCCCCAACCACCTTCCCTTACCTTGTTGCCACCACTCACATCTGATTAGCCCCGTCCTCCGTGCTATCCCTGTCACTGAACGCCGCCAACCACTGGAATATGCCTAAAATTTCCGGAATGGATTTTTGGCTAGTTTTATGTCATCGAGACTCGCGAAGCTCCGCTGCTGCTGCCTCTAGATGCTGCCACCGCCACCAACGGACTGATCTGATTGACCAAAGAAATTAGGGAGCAATTACTTATTTAGATTATGAGTATTAAGAGCAGTAATATTTAGTTCTATTTGTGAAGATTTAAGTTTTAATTATTTCTATGCAATTATGTTTGCATTTAAGGTAATTACTACTCTCTCCGTATTTTAATGTTAACTACATTAGGTTGGATATACGAGTTAACTCGTATTTTATTATTTGATAATATAGTTAGTAAAAGATTTGCTTTTATAAATCGACTGTGTAGATGTTTTAAAGAATAATGTATGAAATATGTAATAAAAATTTATATAAGAAGTTATAATTAGAAATAGTTTGGTGAAAGTTGGTTCGGACAATGTTTAAAAGAAGAGTAAATATATACGAAGAGTAAATATATACGCCATGTGTCCCATAAAACATGGACGTTTTGATTTTTCTTGATTGATGATGGTCGAGTTTGACCAGTGGAAAATTTTTAATACAAAATTATTTCATAAATGAAAATTACTCCGAATATGAATATATTTTTGTTAAAAGTGGACCTTTTGTCCCTAATCCATAAATATGTTCTCATTTTCTGTTTTGATTTTTTCACAAAAAGTCAATTTCAATGATTTCAAAGAGAAACCACAAATTTTTATTTTCTTAGTTCTCTTATTCAACCAACTGAATAAAATAGAATATCACCTGTATTTAAATTGAGTTTGTAATATTATATTTTGTTCAAAAAGTTCACCTTCAAATGGATTGCATTTTCCACTATGAATCATATGTTCTTCAATAATAGTTTTATTTTACGGATGATTATCAATATTATATGAAGAGTTTTTGTCTAACACTTTTAATATTCGATTTTTAATAAATCAATAAAATCAACCAATTCAGCCAGAACTTCATAAATTTCAGCAGAATCAATCGATTTTGGTATTACAATGCTCTAAATATTTTCAGTTCTTCGATAAGACATGGAAAACTCATGCTTGATTTTACTGTAGCATTAAAAATATGAACTAAATATATCATGCACATTCCTTCCACATACATATGCATTAATATACATATCCATTAATATCTAGAAGCAACATTTTCCTACCTTGATAGAAAAACTAATTGAAAAACTAAAAAGGGGAAGAATAAGAGATAATTTCCTCTTTAAAGAAAGTAATATGGATACAAAACTCACACGGAGCTTAAAACAGGACCATACTTAGGGTATGTTTGGCACAACTAGCTGAAAAGATACTTTTATGAGCTTTTTAATAACTGTTAGCTTTTATATTAGTGACTGAAAAGATCTTAAAAAGAAAAGACAGTAGCTGTTTGCTAAAAAGCCGAATGTTTGATTTAGCTCTGTTTGGTATAGAAGCTGTTAGGACTAATCAATGCTAGAAGCTATGGACTTATCTGAGATGCTACTCACATTAGGTCTGTAGCATCTCAAAAAAAATTCTTTTATTTTTATAAAAGCTCTTAAAATTTGGTGTGCCAAACATACAACTAGAAGCTTTTAAAGATTTACTCCCTCCGGTCCTTAATTAACTTTACACTTTCCTTTTCGGGCCGTCCCATATTAAACTTTACACTTCCTTATTTGCCTTATTTGGCAAACAAATCTACAGCAAATAGTGCAAAACAGTGTCAAACAGTGTTTTCTACAGTAAAGTCAAATTTATTTTCTTAATATATGTGAAATCAAAGTGTAAAGTTACGTTTAATAAGGATCGGAGGGAGTATTAAATAGTACATGATGGAGTATATGGCCCGGGAACACCCGGCCCACAGACTCCTACTACTCCAGTAGAGACCCAACAGGCCCGGAAGACCCAACAGGCCCAAATCACGGCGCCCAGGGTACCAAGCAGCACGCAATACGCACCAGGGGTGCCTTCGGCCCCCTGGCCGAAGGTTCCAAACTATCACAGCATGGATATTTCGAACAAACAAAGGAACTGGGAGAAAAAACGGCGAAAACAGTAGCCCTCGGCACCTGGAGCCCTCGGCACTCAGGGGTCCTCGACACTAAGAGCCCTCGGCTAGTCCTCTGCAGCCGAGGGCACCTCTCCCGACATGATATCCGCCTCACATGTGTACAGATCACCGTACCCTGTACAGACGTCCCATCCAACAGCCGCATTAAATGCGGCCACATGCGGCTGCCAACGCCAACCAGTTGAGGTGACCCCTCGGCCAATAGGCGCTTGACACGTGTCCCTGTCCGACATTTATTGCTAGTATAAATAGCACCCCATTTCCCCATTTGTAACCACACTGAAAACGCTCCACATTTATAATACACTCTCTCTCTCTCTACATTTACTTGCTCCGACTTCTCTCTAAGTTATTCCCAGCAATAACCCTTCAGATATATACCCCCGGGTAGACTATCCATCATTTGGTGCTCTCGTTGAGAGGTCGAACAATCGAGTAAGAAACCCTCCCCCTTCGCCAAACACTAGCCCTCTACCAAAATGGTGAGAACAACACGTGCCAACTCCAAAAACGTCGAAGACAAGAACCCTGCCCTCGGCGACGTCAACGCCCCCGAAGCCTCTCACAGGGCTCCCGAGGGTGGTGTCATCGCTGGGCTGGAACAGGCGGCTGTCGACCTACGCCTTCAGATCCAACATAATGCCCCCGATGCCCGCCTCGGCATCGAGGCCAAGAAGAAAAACCGGAGCGATGACCAAGTCAGCCCTCCGGTTCTCACCATCGACGTGCAATCGACGCTCTCCGCCTTCATCCAAACGCTCACTCAGAACCCGGGTGCCTTCGGCACCCTGGCTCCGGCGCAACCCCAGGTTGGGGAGAACATCATACTTCCCCCTCTGCCACACCCCTTCGGAAACCCCACCCCTCGGGTTAGGAACGACGAAGGGGTAGTGGCCCAAGATACGTCCTCCCAGGAAGTTCAATCCCGGAACCGCCACAATGACAACAGAGAGAGGCCCCGCACTTCTGCCCTCAACCGGCTCGGAGGAGGGCCAGACCGCCGAGGGGTCCAAGACCGCCTCGGAGGGAAAGCACTCCAGAGGCCCCAGGAAAGCGGAGGGTCTGTCTCGAGGGCAGATGAGGAGCGTCCCCCTCGGGACAAAGGCAAGGCACCCCTTCATGCCGATGATG